GGCTGTGTTAACTGTTGCTCATGCTGCCCCCATGGCTATGACTACAACTACAACTACAACTATGGCTACAACTACGACCATGACCACAAACACAAACGATACTGAGATAGAAAAACAAGGTTCCAGAAGGCTATTTGTTGATAAAGAGTGCAAGCTGCTCAAAGACACCATCCCTTGGTACAAGCTACATCAATGTGGCTTTGCTGCTGCTCTGGCTCACAAGCTTGTCACCAACTTTCCCTACTTCCATGCCACACATGTCTCCAAAGAACGAGGGGACCCCAATCCCAGATTACGCCTTCTTTCAGACCACATCACAATCCAAGAAGGCCCAAGAGGCATCATCAAATTACAGTCTGGCAAGAAGGATGAACCATTGTCATCTCTTCCATATGTCACCCTTCCAGAGGGTAAACTTCTTCCAAAGGTAATTCCTTGCTCGTGATCAAGTTTATGTGGCTATTTTACTTATTACCCCATAGAAAGTCCAGATGTGGTTTTATAACCACTATGATAATGTCAACAAGGCAACACTGTCTGGTTGGGAGCCTTATTTGAAGACACTTTCTCATAGGTTTAAGAAGCCATCCTGAAGAGTAGTGTTTAAACATTATATGAGCCATAAAGATCATGAGATGCATTGTGAAGACACATTTCAAAAGGCATACATGGAAGAAGTCAATCTTCTGAAGGCAAAGTTTAGAGTCAATGACAGTGTTGTGACAAAGCTTGACAAGATGCCTGCTGTGTTCAACGACAAAGGTGGACTTATTCTGATCAATGAGGACAAGAACGAAGACCCAGAGTGACAGCAAAAGAGGTTGAAGCCCTATATCAGGACCAATTAGAGCAGTGGGAATCTGCAAAGCCTCTACCAGGCATAGACATGTCAGCATCAGTAATCAAGCTGTGAGCATTTTCTTTTCCACTCTGCAACGTGTTCTGACAGTGTTCTTATACAGTTGACAGGAGATTTTTTTGACCTCAGGTCAAAAGCTAATCAATAATATCACTGCACTCACTGGCTTCAAGATCATCCTCTACTATGATGCACCTGATGATGATGGTCTTGCTTCATTTCCAGTGCATGCATAAGTGAATCCTGTTCATCAATCCTTGATGATTAATTAACTGTTTTGAAGTATTCACAGTGGCATTGATCAACAGGGTTTGAGTTGGGGGAAGTATGACCCTGATGCTGTGAAGAAAAGCCTGAAATACTTTAATTTTGTTGAGCATTGTCAAGATAACAGCAAAACATGTGAATTATTTGTCAACCCATTACTTTAACTTTGGTTAACTGACCGCAACGTTAAGCTTCTGGCACACTAGCACCTCATACACCAGTACCCCACACACTGACACCTCATACACTGATGCCTTCTTGCACATTGACATCCTCTCAAATGCTACTGACACACATGTCTGCTTCCAGATGAGCTGTTTCAGATGGTATTGTCAACATGCTAAAAGGTGCAACATCTTTAACAAGATGAGTTGCATTGGATTCCTCAAGCACTTTACTGTCATCTACTCCTGCTCCTCAGTGGAGAATATCCCCACTGCTGTCCAGGCTGATGGGAACACCAGCTTGTAATAGCTGAGTTGTAGCTCTCACTGGCTCTTGGTCCAGATCCACTACCCTGTCTCCATTAAGGTGCATGACTCCAGCTTTGCCTGACATAGGCAATCCTGCCTCTCTGAACATGGGTTTGGATACTGATGCTCCTACAAAGGGTGAAGTGGATTATTTTATGAACAATTCCCCAGTAGACAGCTTATCAACCTCAAGTGCTCTTAAAATTCAGGGACTCCAGGGACCACCTTTCATAGCAATTCCTGGGGAGGCTGAGAAAGCAGCCATTCCATTAGGAGATTCTATGATATTCTAATCTTGTTCAGGTTGTTGATCATTATGATCATCATCATTCTAATCATTATCCTGATTTTGGTTGTTATTTATTAGAGGGATTGATGTGGCTGAAGGGGTGATAAAAGCTCTATCATTATTTCTGGTTTCAGAACATTTCAGAAAATGCAATTTGTCAAATTTAGCATTTGATCTGATAAATATCCTTTGACATGAACTGATAAGCTTTGGATCCTGGCTCCTAAAATTACCAAAAATGAATGAGGGATCGCTCACTATGCATAGAACAGGAATATCAATTGCCTCCATGAATCCAATGACAGGAATCCTTATGCCAGATGCATCAATTCCTGCACAATTACAGAAAACATGTACTATGGATGTAGTATTGCAAGGAGTGATCTGGGGGCTTGGGGAACCTTAAAATCAAATTCAGGATGAAAAATCAGTTAAGAATTGATGCATCTAGCATAAGGATTCCTGTCATTGGATTCATGGAGGCAATTGATATTCCTGTTCTATGCATAGTGAACGGTCCCTCATTCATTTTTGGTGATTTTAGGAGCAATCCCCATGCTCCAGTACAAAAAAACCCCTAAAAATGCGATTTTTCATGTATTTTTTATGTAGCAACATACAGATGTATTCAAAAAATGTCCTCTCATGGTAGGAAAGTGTATTTTGGATGTCTGAATCTGATTCTGAACTCCCCTTGGTGCTGGAATGCTTCCCTGAGGTGCTATTCATGTGCTACTGCCTGTATTATATAACTGTACAATACATTGGATTAAACAAGGTGTTGCACATACAGGAGTGCTTAGGCAATATATATTCATCATCTATACACCCCAAGGTGGGTTATGAACAAGAATTAGCCTATCCCAATCATTCTCTGTGCTATAGTATTACCAATGTCCAAAAAAAGCGAATTTAGCTGTAATAAATCTGGAAAAATAGGCAGCTCTCTAGGATTGTAAACCCATCAAAGGAACATATATATCATCCATCATCCACAATATCTAAGCCCTAGCTACATTAAATCCCATCCTGTAATTTTATTCCCCTAATTTCAGAGATTTTCAGTATTTTTGATATTTAAGCACCATTATCCCACCAATCTATATACTATTTAGTGTCTCCAGGCTTGTATTTAATGTATCCAGGTCCTCAAACTTACCCCATGTCAATATCTGCCCTATAGCCCAAGATCCAATAGGCCATTTTCCTGAATTACCATATTTGGACTGTTTTTTTTTGCATTCCCCTGCTCTCCAATTGCAGGGGCATACTTCTAGGACATATTAGAACACATTCTCTCAAAAATGTGATTTTTATAGTCCCCCAGCATGCCCCAATAGCCCCCCAATGCATTGATTGTGGGTGGACAAAAGTGAGGTAAGGGCACCTTCCATTTTGGGAAGCCAAAAGCGGAGCAGGGAGGCATCAGGAGGCATGCCAGATGATGTCAGGAGGTGTGAGAATATTTTTCCTGTTAAAAAAATTGGGAAGCAAAAAGCAGAGCAGGGAACCATCCCAGATGTGGCCAGCAGTGTGGGAATAATTTTTCTGTAAAAAAGCGCCCTAGAACACTCTGTTAGGGTTATCTAGACCCTGGGAATCTCTCTCCTGCCATTTTTGGAACACCAAAAGCAGCCTGTATGTTTGTCCCAAAGATATTTCCTTTTTTGGAAGAAAAAAGTGCAATAATAATCACTTTTTCTATCTGAATAAACCCCCTGGCTAAACCAGAGACTTACTGGTATCCTTTGTAAAAGCATAGCCAGATGTCTGGATGAACTATCCTGGTCCTTTACAAAAGTCCTACACAGGCGGCTGACTTGATCCTTCAACGATCTACTTGTGACCCTCAAGTCATAAGTGCTCTGTTGTGACTCTTGCATCCTCACCTTGAGGCCTTCACTTCGGAACATCTGCTCATCCTGCTCACTGCCCTTAAAATCCCGCATTCTTCTTTTGATGTTACTGCTGCCAGATTTAGGGTTGATGGCAAGGACATCTCCGTCATTGACAAGTCCTTGGGGAAGATTCTCACAAGTGAGTTATTTATATATCTGATACCCCTACACTACTAACTTCTCTTCCTAGCCTATCAACAGGTGGTTTCCCTTGCGGAGTCTGCCTATCCTCCTGTCAACTTGGCAAAGTGGTTGGAAGCATGGGTTGGTCCTGAGTATGTGATCAAGGTATTTTTTTTCTTTCCTCTTTAGACCCCCATATGACTTATATAGTGTTATATAGGACAAGACCACTTCCAAGAAAGCTCCTGGTTCCCCTATGGCTCAAGACTCGAAGTCCAAGGGACCATCAGGATCCCCTCTTAAAGCTGTACATTTCTCTTTCCCTGTCATATAAAGTTCTAACTTTTCTTTATTTTTCTCTAGTCGGGTTCCACAGTCAAAACCACTTCTCCTCGTTTAGTTTTGGATATCCCTCCTTCCACTAGCAACATCAAGGACTCCAAAGTCAAGAAGAAGGTTGCCAGGTCCAAGAGTCCTATGGTCATTGAGAAGGTTGGTGGCAGCTCCTTGGGAGACACTATCGTGGACAAGTCTCCTCATGAGCAGTCTGCCTTGTTGGACTCAGAGTAGTGGCCTCTTGGCCCTTTATGTTTTTATATTTTCACAGGCTGATATTCTGTGTGCACCCCTTAGTGGGCAAAATAATGTATCCTGTATCATCTCATGCTCCCTTAGTACACACATTCAAGTACTAAGGTCAAAGCAATATTCTTGTAGTTGTGTCTCTATGACACAAACAAATAAATAATTACTTCTTGGTAAGACTCTAGTGTAAACTAGTAAGCTCGAGTGACTTTTAACAATTTTAGATTTGAGATCAATAGTCTGAGGGACTTAGTTTAAGAGCTAATATGTCTAGATAGGTTACCACTCAGGCATCTATCTAGCTCATATGAGGGCTCATATGATCTTCAATCTTCACGCTCGTATCATATATTCATGATTTCAGACTACTAGGACTATTCTAGGTGCACTCAAGTGCGCTAGTAAGGTATCCTCTCAGTCCTAGTTCTTTTGTAAAGTCTTCATATGCATCCCCTTAGCTCAGCTCGGGGACGGACTTCAAGAAGCAGTACGAGAAAGGGCTTGTATACCTCTGCTGGAAATCGAACCCAGGTCTCCACCTGAATGCTTCATGACAGGAGGAGGAAGTGTCAGTGGTGCTCTATCTTTTGAGCTACAGAGGCAGTAACTGTTACAATTTACTTGTTCAGTTGTTCGAAATGTCTTTTCAAGATATGACTTATCAATAACTGCTATAGTATCAGAAGGCTGGACTGCTTTCCGTTTATTTCTGTCTTTAATGAAAGTAGCCCTAACTGATGGTGGAATCTTTTGAATATGTGAATCAAGAACTTCCTTTCATTTTGACATTAATACAGTTTTCCAGTGGTCTCGAGTTAATGTTGGTATTGGAGGTATGCTTACATCCATTCTGTCAGATGTAAGTGTTGTTGAAGGCAATGCCCACTGACAACTTTCTAGTACATCTTTAATTTGATGCTTTAATGCTAAGTGTTGTTTATACTGTGGAGTATAGTCATTAATCTTGTAGCTATCAACTTTATGCATCTCATCTTTTCTTAATGGAGCAGAATCAACAGTATCATATAAAGTAGTAAGGTCATATAAGATAGCACCATCATCATCATCACTGAGATCATCTAAGATAGGATCCCAGCTGCTATGTATAGCATCATTTTTAGCCATCATAGCATGATAATCATCACGAGCATCTAAATATTCATACCGTATCATAAAATTATTCATTAATTCCTCCTGTCTAGCTGTAAAGCAGTGACTAGAAAATGCTTCAGACCATGATTCATTAGGATCTTTAAGATCTAATTCTGACCTCCAGGGCTTGAATAATGTAAGCATAACACAACAGTAGTAGTCATAGTTACCTTGGTCTCTTTTAGGTAGATTGGCTCCAAGAAAGTTAACTACTAGTTTATCACTATCTTTCTGAATTTGTACAAGATGAGTATTAGCCAGTTCATGACCTGACTGAAATCTGTAGCAACCAACAGGTAATAACTCTACTGCAGCTGAACCAGATTCATACTCAGGTTCACTATTAGGTGAGTCTGACTCTCCATTAGATTCTAATACATGAACCCTTTTGGAAAGACGTTGGGCTTTCTTAGACGTGATCTGATGTGAAATTCGAATCCAATCATATAAAGATACATGTCTAGATTCATTAGGCCTATATTCGTAATCCATAACAGGTGAAAGGCCAATGATACGATTACCACATTTTAACAAAGCTACATTCTCTTTAACAGCAAGTGATTTATCTTGACAGCAGTCATTCTGAATCTTGGCAACATATTGTTGCCAATAGAAGGAAATGAAGTGATGGTCAGTATAGTGATCTGGAAACCCTAAGAGATAACTACATATAAGTGGAGCTCCAAACTCCATCTTAGTACTCAGCAAATTAACAACTTTTGTTAGGAGTTTTCTAGCTTTTTCTTGACTGGTATCTGATCCTGTAATGATCTCACTGTTTTTGGTAAATACAGTAAGGATTGCATCAAATACAACATGTGTCTTTAATGATGCTTTTGTAATATAGTCTGTAACATATAAAACAACAGATTTAACTGCAGTACCAGATCCTACTACAGATAAAATAAGACAGAGGATAGCAAAATGTATTAAACCAAGCTTCATCTTTGCACATAGTAACTGCACCTGTATTTTTATCTATAAAGGTAAATGGATAGAGTGGTCTTGGAAAGCAAGCACGACACTTGCCCCACTTGTTGTCTTTACATCCTTTATAAAGATGCATTGGCTTTAGTGTTCCATCTTTGTTAACATTTCTATCACATTTATGCCTGTTGTGCTTATTATCTGCAGGTGAGATAGTGATATACCATAAAGGCGCACCTTTATGAGCTATCAATGACCATACTTCATTTCTCATAAATTTCTTAGTTGTAGTAGAGCCTAAGACTTTACCTGCTATATGATCTAAATCTGAAAGTGCCATAAAACATGCCTTTTCACCATTGGCCATTCAATTAGCTAAATTCTGAAGAACATTTTGGTCAAGTTTTAACAGTCTATCAGCTACTGTTCCAAAAGAGTTTTTGTCTGCTAAAAGCCAACCTGCTTGTGTGGCAGCTTTCACCTGTTCATGACTAAATGCAACAATAGGAAAGTTTTCATCAGTCTGGAATCACTTATCATAATACATTAATAGATGTTTTTTGTGCAGAGATTCACTCAAATTAGACATGCCAAGCCCACCTAATCCATAGGGAAAGAGCCAAGGAAACATTTTTGGATACAATGAAGGATTCTTCCATATACTCTCACCATGATCCTTGCGACCTATACCTAATACTTTTCCACTATTGGCAAAATATGCAGTAGCCAATCCTACTATCTCGTCCTTTGTATGTTCAGCAAGCTGGGGGCCTGTTAAACCATGAACAGTAAACATGCATTGCCCATCAGTAGTACCATCTTCATTATCATTATCAAAAAGGGCTTCAGATTCTATAGTTTTATTACTTTCAGCTTCCTTCCACATAACTGCACATGGAGGTGTATCCTCACTATATTAATGAAGGTTTTCTTCTGAGAGTCTAACATCAGCATAGTCACAATGGTTAAGAATCAGCCAGGTCAGAGCTTCTTTAACAGCATTACAACGCACAAGAAGAAGTGTTCTCTGAAAGTCCTCAACAGTAGGTTGTGCAGGACCTGTAAACAACACAGCAAGTATCTCATCAATATCATCTTTGGGCAGAGGCAACACCTCATACATTCTGGGTATTGGAGCTTCAAATGCCATAGCATTAGCTTTCATTTTCTTGCCACCAGTAGCTATTCAAACAAAGCAAGCAGTATGACGTACTCGTGATACCAGCAACTTTTCAATATAAGACAAATTCTTCAGCTGCGGTGGTACATCACCTAGCCACAATTTATTTGCCAGTGAAAGCTTGGGGATGTTACCCTTTGTCACAGAAGCTCTATATGTATCACATATGTAACTACAATCCCTGGCATATACTGGACCAGTAAGCTCAGCAATAGGTTCACTGGAGTGATGACGCTCTTTCCTTGTCACACCAGGTACCTCAAGAATTTTAAGTCTGTTTTGAACTTTGCGAAGAAGAGATAATTTTGAGATACTGACAAGCTCACCACATACTCCACATCCCGCTTCAAGTATGTGGGTAGAATTAAGCTTCTCACATGCACTCTGTAAGATAGCATTAGTGGTTTCATTATCCAGAGGTGCAGGTGGGAATGGGGTCACTTTAGTCTGAAAACCAGTTTCAATTTTTCCACATACTCGTAGATCTTTCAATGTGTTTTTGTGTTTATGAGCAGCAGGCACAACTTTTAAAACAGCTACAGCTCTTGGGCACAAGTCACATGAATGTTTGCTGAGAAGGACTTCAGTTTCCTTGCTACTGAAAGCAGTGTCATTAGATCCAAAATGTAATTTGGCAGCTTCACGCTGCCAGGTGATATTCATGTACTGTATAAGGTCTTTCACAGGAATTGAAACTGCTAACCGACCACTCATGTCGCACTGCGTGAGATCTTCAGCCAATACATATGCAACAAACTGGAATTTATCTTTGTTTTCCAACTTACAGGCATCTTGCTCAGGCAAGTACTGTTTAACTAAATTCCAAGGGATCAATCTAGGCCTACCGCCTCCAATATCATGGTATTTTGCTGGGAAGTTATTTGTTATGTTAACAACACTACAATTGACAGACATACACTCATCAGTGTTCTTCGCCGATATAGCTGTAAATAACAAAAAGCTAGCTACACCTTTAGTTTAGTGACACCAACCATTAGTAAGCTCCATAAAAGTCCCTTTAAATAAGCCTTCACTAGATAAAGGCTTGTAAAGCCTATTAAATAACATGTTATGTCCAAGCGGAATAATTCTAGTGGTGAATACAGGAGGACAATACAATCGACCATATAATGCATGAAAATCATGTCCATGCATATGAAACTGATTTAAAACAAGAGCAAGACATTTGCATCATTGCTCAAACACAACTAGCAGCGATACAAGCCAGCAAACGATAGTCATAGTGCATACTACATGAATCCATAGAAACTCAATTTGTATAAAATCCACGATCGGATGAGAATACTGGAAGCAAAGCATAGAAGATGATGGATTATTCCGCTCCAGATCCGATGATACGCTGATTTTTATAACACTTTAATTTCAAACGCATTATGCACATTTCTTTATTGTTATGCTATAAAAAGGGTTCTGAAGGACTAGTATGAGCCCTGAATAGCTAGTCATTGTCACTGGTACACGGGACTATGTCTTGCTAGCAGAGAACAGTTATACGGTACACCTCACATTGGGTATCTGGCTGCTGCTATGCATATACTAGGGGTCTGCAATTCACAGACACCTACCTGAAACCTGTAGGGGCTAATATAAGGTGGAACTTACCTTGTATAAGGTCACCGTGCTACTAGTTGGCATACTCAAGGGACATTTACGCTTTTATTACTTCTTCGTGACCTACTATAAGATAGAGAGGGCTTTGGGGGATCACCACGGCTTGATGATCAAGACGGCTTGATCGGAAATGACCGACGGCCCGGGGGCAGACCTATCAGACTTGATATTCCGAAGTGTTCCTTTGGATCGGACACGGAGGCAAAGCTGTTAAAACGGTGGCAACGCCTGAAACGCTTAGCATGGAAGCAGATACAGTGGATATACCACTTATAGAAGGGTCCCATATGACTATGGAGACTTATAAAAGATGTGCCAGGTCTAGATAACAGATGACTGAGCATCATTGGCGTGCGGACTGGTCGGAAACAACTATCATTGGTGGAAAAGCGCCTTGGCGCATAGAAAAGAAAATTTTAAACAGGCTAAACGCCAACCCGCAGGCACAGGATTCAACTCCTGAGTCTAAACATAGAAATTCCTATTTACTGGTCACGCTTACACGACTTATATGGACGTTGTGACACTCTTATTTCCCTCATATGTATATTTCTCCTCGTATCATCTCTGTTCCATCTCTGTTCCTCGTCGTTCCGTCTATTTTCCGACTTATATTACCTAAAATTCTCGTTTTCACTTCTTGGACAGTATATAAGCTACCCATCATGTAGGAGAGCGGCAGAAGAAGAAGGGAGACGCACTGCCCGCCCA